CAGATCTTCACGTCCTTCCGTTCGAGGTATGTATAGTATGTCGCTGTAGACTTTCTCGAGTGGTTGATAAGCGGGGGCGCTCGGATTGTGGTGTGACGGGAACGGTTGGTGAGGCAGATCTGCTTCCGGGCAGATGAAGCAGGTGCCGCGTGGTCGTTCGAGTTCTCGTCCGTTGGGAAGAAGTAGGGCGTTCTTATCTAACACTCCGGCTCGTATTGTATTGTAGAGTGTTGTGTTTCCAGGATGTCCAAGACGTTGATGCCATATGTCTTCGGAGGCGCTGTGACCTACGGAGCGTCGATAGAAGTCTGCGTTAGCGAAGAAGGCGGCGTGAGTTGCTGCACTTCGATGGACGGCGCGTGGTGCTGGCGTTAACTGTTGGGCGGCTGTCGGTGGCGTGTCGATGATGAGAGGTGGAGGTGCGACGGAGGGACCGAGCTGTAGAGTTTCGGTAGGTTGTTCCGCGACGACGGTTGGTTCTTCAATTGCAGGTTCGGAGGTTGTTGGTGTTGTGACGGGTGCAGTTGTTGTTTCGATGACGGGTGCTGACTCAGGTGTTGTGGCTTGTGTTTGCAGGACGGCAAGCGCGTTGGTGCGTTCAGCTTCGGGAATGGTACGAGAGTACCAGAAGCCTTCAGGACTGAAGTTCGGGTCGAGGTCTGGCGGATGCGTCCAAGGTGCGAGAGCGACTATACCGTCGCTGTCTGCGGTGCCTTTGTCGGGGACGAAGTCGAGGACGAACACGTCATCTTGTTGGATTGCACGGCCGATGAAGACCCCCCCTTTTCCGTGGTAAAGACGAATTTCCAGGGCGTCGGAGTCGCACTCCAGGTGAACGCCTTTCGACATGAGTTGGCTGACGCTCAGTAAGTTAAAGCCGAGGTTGTCGACGACGAGTACTTTGTTTAATTGAAGAATAACGTTTGTTTCGTTTGACTGAAGCTCCACGACTCCTTGTTTGTTGGTGCGCAGGTTTTCGTTGTTGGCGATGGTGATGATGACGTCTCGCGGAAGACGTCGTTCGCGCTGAAGAAATCGTGATGAAGAGCACATGTGATGACCGCAACAACTGTCGAGGAACCATGTGTCTGGTCCGGTGGGTGCACGGTTCGCGATGGCGGCGTACGTTGGATTCACGTTAAGGGACGATGGTGGTGGTGATGGTTGCTCATCAGGACTGTAAGTTGGTGGAGAGCCGGTAATGCACGAGTCGATGTTTGACTCTGTTGTTCGTGCCATGGCGACGATTCTTGGTGTCTGTGCAGGTCCCGAAGTGGAGGTTGACGGTCGTGTTGAAGTAGTCGTTGAGGCGGTAGCGGGTCGCTGTTGAGTTGACGCGATGTGGGGAGGCACTGGTCGCAGAGGACGAGAGAATGGTGCTGGTTGTCGTTGTTGCTGAGGGCAGTTGAAGCGTGTGTGTCCTGAAGTCCGACAAAGATGACAATAGGGAGGTACGTGTCCTCGATTTTGGTAGCGTGGCTGTCGTCGATTGGTGTAAAGAACGATTGGTTGATGATGCCTTTTGTTGTTGCGTTCTTCGAACAGGTCCATTTCCTGCTGCTCGGCGTGAAGTTCGGCGCAGAGATGCATTTCGGAGAGTCGACCGTGAGCGCGAAGAAGTGAGCGGGTGGTGCGCCACTGAGGTCCAAGGCCGGCAAGAACGACGGTTACGAAAGCTTCTTCAGATAAGTTTCCTCCGCAGCGAATGAGTCTGTCGCGTAGTCCTTGACAGCGACTGATGTAAGGCATGGCCTTTTCTCCAGGTTGCATTTGAACTGTTGTTAGTTGTGCCATGAGTCGGCTTTGCGTAACGCTGTCGGATGCTTGATGAATACTTCGCAGATGTTGATAAGCGAGTTCCGCGGAGTTTGCGTAGTTCCGGTAGGCGCGGATGCTTTGTTGTTCATTCGGCGACAGGTTTCGGAGAAGAACGGTGTAAGCCATGAGGGAGTGATACGTATAATTTTCTTTGTCCTTGTCTTCGCCGTTGTGTGGATATGGCCAGGTACCGTTGAAGAAGCCAAGAAGATTCGCGCCTTCCATCAGGAGTTCAAATTCGAAGCTCCAAGAGTAGAAGTCCTTCCCGTTGAATGGTGTGGATGTGTGCAATCGTAGGATGTTGTTGAACTGTGCTTGTACTTGCAGGACTTCTTCGGGGTCTCGTTTGATGGCGGGAAGAGGAGTCGCTGGATGGCGGGGCGGCATGAACGTGAAGGAACCAGGTGAGACCGAATTTGGTGTTTGTTGATTGTGTCGTCCGAACGATGAGTTGTCAATACTCATTGGTGCCGCTCCGTTGTTTACGCTGTTGCTGTTTGCAGGTTGTGAGGACTGCTGCTGCGACATGAAGTTGAAGAACTCCTCCATTAGGCTTGGGTTGAAGATTGGCGGCGCCACTGGTGCTTGAGTGGAGCGTTCCGTCGCTTCCGGTGTTAATCCGGGCGTTGTTCCTCCTTCGGTCTGCAACTCGGAGACCGGGGGTAGAGTAGATCCCGTAGATGATCTTCTTTCTTTGCCACTTGCCATGTCTTGCCCTTCTTGAGTGAAGGTTGAACTTCTTGGTCGTTTGCAGATTGGTAGCCTGAAAGAGGCTTAATGACGAGAGCCTTTGTTCTCTGACTGCTCTCATACCATGTTGGGCTGAGAATTTCAGCCTTAGGATCTTTGCAGAGAATAGGCTAGTAAGTGCTAGAGTAGCACAGCGGAAGTCTTGAGTGAATGTACTTGTGCTGGTATGTGAGAACAAGTAATTGATTAAAGTAAAGGGCATACAGGAATATATAGAAAAGATAGATTACAAGGAACGGTTATGTTTATCGAGACGCGTAGCGCTTTGACTATCGAGGTGGTTACTGTTCACTGAAGCGTCGCTTGCTGTTACGTAACCTCCAGGCGGTTACAGCTCGCAACCTCTAGTTGCGGTTTGATGTGGTACGCGCCTTTTCGACTTCGTACTTCTTTTGTTGTGCTTCAGTATCGGGTGAGGTTCGATACTACAGAAACGCACTAAGTCATGCGTTTATTTTCCCAACACCCCCTAAGACAAACCTCACTATAGGCTACAACATTTGACACCATATAGCCCAACCCACTACAGGCTATAATATTTGACAAACCCATACCGCTGTAGCCACTTTCTGAGAGCCGTGCCCACCCGCATGGAGGGTATGCCGGGGCGACTTGCTTATGAGGAGGACAGTGAGGGGATGAGCGAGGAGGATGAGAGGGGGGGTGGGTGCTGGTGGTGGTGCTCCTAGAGGGGGCAGCTAACACTCTTTTCTATTGTTAGGAGGAGATTCTGTTTCGTTTTGTGATTCACTAAAATGACTTGTGGAGAACAGTTGTGAGTCGCTTGAAGCAACTTTCAACATTTGCAACTTTTATTTTGCACTGAAATGCTGTTTTGCTTGAAGAATGCCTTCTGGACAAGCAAATTCAGGAATGCCTTGTGGAATCACAGGATGGTTGATTTGGTTTGTTTGCATGAGTATGTCTGAAACAATGCTGCAGAATTTTTGACAGAGTGCGCACCATAAATTTCTGCACATTGTACCCAGCAAAGAATTGATCCTTCTGCTCAAAATGTCCATCCACAAGATGTATATTATATATGGCAATTATACAAACACAGATCCAATTTCATAAATTTATTTGGACCCCTATTTGGGGGGGGGTGCGCCTTCCTCGGAGTTAGTGCAATACTGAGGCGACGCTCGCAGGGCCGACCAGCAAGCTGGCCATTGGCACCTGGCCCCGAAAGAAATTAATTTAATATCATGTGGACCGATGGTCCACGTATCAGATATTAAACTGATAAGAACAGATACTACACTTGATCTTAGCCAAAAGGCCGAGAAAGGTATGCCTGCACATAGCACAATGTCAGTACTTATTGCTACCGTCTGAAAGTGAAAAGTTTCGTTTTGTGGGTCGTTCGTCACCTGAGAACGTATGGAGTGCCACGTGTAACGCCATCGTTTTGAGCTGGAACTTGGGGCTTCATTCGCACCCAATTGCCCTTTCCAAGCAAATGAGTCGAATTGAGCGCAGGTCCCCTCGAGAAGGGTTCTTCTCGTCATCCTTATCACCCACCGCCGCACCTTCCCTTGTGCTCTTCGAGTTCCGCACGACCCGCACGCAGTACATTGCGCGCTCGCAGCGTTTCTCATTTCCTACCATCATGGCGTCATGCAGTCGGTTGAAACTAGAAGTAATACTTAATTAGGGTTGGCGAGCAACGTAGCTTATTCTTAGAGCAGTTAGTTGCTCCTGTGGCCGCATTTCCAGCGCCTGCTAGGGACGATATCGGCGCTGTTCACCATTCATCGCCACATATCATCCTGTGGGAGCGCCCCGCTCGTTAAATTCACAATGGCTGATCGCCAGTGGAGTGTTGTTTCTCCTTTGGCAAATTTCGCCAGCAGCGCCGTCGCCCTGCTTCTTGTTTTCGCCGTGCTGAGTTCGCGAAGAGCGAATGCGCAGGGCGAGCCGGACTGGCGAGCGGAAACGGCGTCTGTTCTTCAGCAGGTGTCGCAGCAGGCGTTTCTATCCTCGTTCGCCGCCATTTTCAGCGAGTTCTGTAACCACCATGCCCATGTGCCTCTGTTCGTTCTGCGCGTTCGCATCCTCCCCCTCTCCTCTCCAATCGCCTCCCTTCTACCATTTTGTTTTATTTATCGCCTTTTCTTCTCACCTTCGCATCTCAATTCCGTATTTTGCTCTTCTTTCCACCTGCACATTCCCTTCTCAACTGCGTATTTTCCCCTCTAAAAGCCCTGCTACCCCCTCCCATGCCTCCCAACATCCTACCGCACCTCATTCCACGCGCACCGCAACTGATACGCGCACTGCACCTCACCACAGCTCATTCCATGCGCACTGCACCACACTGCACCTATTTCCACACGCACTAAACCTCATTCCATGTGCACTGCACCTCATTCCGCGAGCACCGCACCGCACTGCATCTCATTCACGTGCATCGCACTTCACCTCATTCCATGTGCACCCCACTGCACCACAGCTCATTCCAAGCGCACCGTACTGCACCAAATTCCAAGCGCACTGCACTGCACGGCACCTCATTCCATGCGCACCGCACGCTCATTCCACTCGCACGGCACCGCACCACACTGCTCCCCATTCCACGCACACAGCACTGCACAACCCCCCCCAACCCACCCCCCCCCCCACCCGCCCCCCCCTCTCCTTCCCCCCCTTTCTTCCCTCCCGCTCACCCCGCTCCCCCCTGCCAAACCAATCGTTTCCAATGCAGTGCATGGCGAGCAGCAGCCCGTCATATAGTCCCTGCACCTTCCCTTCTTACTTCATATAATCCCTCCCACAACCCTACTCTCCTACCTCGTCCCATGCCCCTCAACATCCTCCCCTTTCTACCCTCCTTTCTATTTTTTTTCAACCTGCACCTTCCCTTCTTACTTCATATAATCCCTCCCACAACCCTACTCTCCTACCCCCTCCCATGCCCCTCAACATCCTCCCCTTTCTACCCTCCCCCAACCAATTTTTTGTCACCCAGTGCAAGGCGGGCAGCAGCCCATCACAGCCCCCGCCAAGCTGCTCGTCCCCACCAACGTGGGTCACTGGCAATACCTAGCGCACTGGACCGCCCTCTCCCCCACGCACCAGCGCCGGTTACTGCGTTACCACATCCTCCCCGGCCGCTACACCGCGCAGCAGCTCCTGGACGCCCCGCAGCTCACCCTCTTCCCCACCTTCAACCACCGCCTGCCGCTAAACAGAACGCTTAAGCCGGAAGAAGTGTATTTCCAGTCAGTTCCTCCGATGAAATCCGCGTCACCGCTAAGTGTGCCGGATGCGGGGCTGACGGCGCACCTGGCTGCGCACGGGGTGACGTTTGTGCTAGAGCCACCCAACCTGGAGTGTACCACCGTCGCGTGCAACAGCAAGGCTGAGAGCACGTCACACATGGGTTAGGGCCAGAGCAGTTGCATCCCTGAATTCTGGGAAGCCCAATTTTCAGCTACCTATCATATCTGCCAATGATAGTGTTGAAACAGTGAAATAATAGTGCTGCAAAGCATGGGATGCGTCCTTTCGATAACGTAATGCGTCACAAGTTGGGCCATTGGAGACATCATCCAGTATATTAGATTGAATGCCACATGGATTTCCTTGTCTAGTCTTGCTTGCAATATACGCAATAACGAGGTATGACTTTCTCGTGCGCTATTGCCAGTGCTGCCTCGAGCAGCGCTGCTTCGGGATGGCTGACGAAGCCTAACGACGCTCGTGAAATTCGCTTCGCATACGGCCGCTGGTTCGCATGCTCCCCGAGTCTGGGGTGCATGGTTGGGGCCCATTTTGTGAATCCATAAGTGCTTGTGACGCCTCGGTACGTCCAATTGGTACAGTTGCCAGATGTTCCATTCTGGATAGAGCTCACACTTTACAGGTAAAAACGAACCGAACTGGTTGATATTGACTCGAAAGGTTGCCGCCTTGCTCGACTGTTACTGCGCCTAGGGATTGCCGTGTGCTTGTGGTGCATCCGCGGCAGCTATGGCAACAGCCAGGCGTCAGCAGCATGCACCGCCTCCACACACACGAGGCTCCGAGCCGTCACGCATCAGCTCGTTCTCTTCGACGCTAACCAGTTCGGCTCGGTCCGCTACCTCCGAGCCGTCACGCATCAGCACCTCCCTCCGACTCGTAGAACCCCCTCTCGCCCTCGTGATCGGAATCGTGCTACTTGAGGCTTCCTTTAGCCATTTCCTCACCACCTCGTCTGTACTACTAGCTTCCTGCCATCGTGTCCCGAATTGATCATCTCCGGAGGTGGTAAAATTGCGGAGGTTTGTTACAGCACGAGCGATGCGCGTCTTAAGGCGAAGCTTCTGCGGAAATCCCCAGCCTCTTCCCTGACGTCGGACGGCTGATTTAAAATCGCTCGTTTCAATCCTTGAGACGGAGTACATACTCGCGCGGCAGCAGCGATGGGCGTGCTGGCGAAGCTGCTGTACGTACTCGTGGAGGACGACGACGGGGAGCAGCAGCGCGCGGGGAGTAGTAGTAAACTCGCAGCCGAGGCAGGCGGAAAGGGCGCGCGTGCGGCGGTGCGCTACACCAAGTCGGTGCTGTCCAGCACGCTGCAGCTCATGGGGTGCAAGTCCCGCCACGCCGTCAAGGTGAGACGTGCCTCGCCGTCAGGGTGAGACGCGCCACGCCGTCAGGGTGTGACCGGTCCGTGTTGCACCGTGAGATCATATCATACCTACTGGGACCTGCGCATACCTCCTCCCTCACCCACGACAGTCTCGGTTCTTTTGGTTTCGCCTTCACGTTTGCAGTCCTCTCTTCTCTCTTACTTGCGCTCCTCTCCCTCACCAAACACACGCAGATCAGCGAGCGCGTCTTCCAGATGCTGCTGCAGCAAGTCACCAGCCGGCGAGTTTCCGGCCATCGGACGGACGTGGCGCACCGATCACGGATGGCAAACGGATTCGACAGTACCCAGCGATTGGCCAGGCCAAACCGAGAGGATTCCAGTGCCGTTCTGGCCACCAGCGCCAGCCATGATAATCACAGTTGCCGTGACAATAACGGCCGTGACAATAACGAGCGGACAGAAAACAGGGCAGCAGCAGGGGGGTCGAGTGCGGGCGGGGGGGACACAGTGAGGGGCGTGAGCGTGTCTTTGAAGCGCAGCACGTTTCTGGACGTGGTGTGCCGGGCGCTGGCGGAGTATCGCTACCTCAGCGCCGACCAGCGCAGCGACCTCGCCCTCGCCTGCAAGTGAGTGCACCGCACTAAACCGCACCGCACTGTACCGCTACTGTTTCTGGTGTCTCAGGCGCTCGCGGAGTATCGCTACCTCAGCGCTGACCAGCGCAGTGACCTCGCCCTCGCCTGCAAGTGAGCCCCTGCATACCGCTCTGCACCGCACTGCACTGTTGCACTGCACCGCTGCCCACACTGTAAAGATTACTGAGTTCTTCTGATCTGTCACGGCCGTTGTGGTGGAATTGCGTGCTTTGTGTGCTGCTGCTTGCTGCTGCCATGCAGGGTGCGTGAGAGGAAGATGTCAGTGACGGTGTTCCTGTGTGGCGCCAGCGGCTGTGGCAAGTCCACCCTCGCCTCCCTCCTGGTATGCTGCACACCTGCCTTCTCTGCTCTGCCTTCTCCTTCCCTCCTCCCCTCCTCCCCTCCTTCCCTTCCTCCCTCTTCACTCCCCCTCTTTCCGTCCCTCTCTGCCTCCCCCTCCCCACCCCCCATTCTTCCTTCTTGCGTGACTGCCATTCATCCTTCTTCGCCTATGCCTCTCGGGTCCACCACCTCCCTCACATCCTCCCTCCCTCACATGCTCCCTCCCTCACATGCTCCCTCCCTCACATGCTCCCTCCCTCACATGCTCCCTCCCTCACATGCGCCCTCCCTCACATGCTCCCTCCCTCACATGCTCCCTCCCTCACATGCTCCCTCCCTCACATGCTCCCTCCCTCACATGCCGCACGCACCATGGGCGGCGGCAGCAGCGGGGAAGGCACCTCGCTCACATGCTCCCTCCCTTACATGCTCCCTCCCTCACATGCTCCCTCCCTCACATGCTCCCTCCCTCACATGCTCCCTCCCTCACATGCTCCCTCCCTCACATGCCGCACGCACCATGGGCGGCGGCAGCAGCGGGGAAGGCACCTCGCTCACATGCTCCCTCCTGCCCCCCCTTCCCCCCGGTGCAGGCATCACGGGTGGGCATCACGGCGGTGTCGACCCACTCCGTGCACCACACGATCCGTAGTCCAGAGAACTGCCATGCCTCCTCCTCGCAAACTGCCTTCCGCTCTTGCATACCCCCCCTCCCCCCACTGCCCCCTCCCGTATGCCTCTCCCCCCTCCCCGGCAGGCATCGCGGCTGGGCATCACAACAGTGGTGTCGACGGACTCGCTGCGCCACATGATGCGCGGCTTCAGCAGCCGCGAGGCCAACCCGCTGCTGTATGCCTCCACGTACCAGGCAGGCGAACACCTCGACCCCGCTGCTGTTGCTGATGCCAAGGCCAGGAAGAAGGCGGAGAAGCTGGGAGGGAAGCACGGCGGCGCACAGGCGGACACACAGGCTGCCGCAGCACAGCGAGACTGGGAAGGAGGCCGGGAGAGGAGGCTGGCAGCTGGGGAGGTTGGGGGGCAGGTGCGGCTGAGAGAGATGCAGGGCGCTGTGGATCTGAGAGAGATGCAGGTCGCTGTGGATCTGGGCGCTGGTGAGAGCAGAGGCGCGATAGGACTGGGGGGTCGGGTGGGGGAAGGGCAAATAGGCGGAGAAGGGAACAACGGGGGAGAAGCTGCAGTGACAGGGGGAGGTGGGGGTGGGAGGGATGAGAGGGAGATGGGAGAGGCGGTTTGGGATGGTCGGCCAAGCGTGACAGGTTTGGACAGGGAGAGGAGTGGGGAAGGAGGCAGTGGAGGGAAAGGGAGAGATTTGGGGAGTGGGATGGATGCTGTGAATGGGAAGGAGCCAATGAGTGAGAAGGAAGTAGTGAGTGAGATGGAGGCAGTAAGTGAGAGGGAGGGGGTGAGTGAGAGGGAGATGGTGATTCAGGGGTACAAGGCGCAGAGTGAGATGGTGATAGGCAGTGTGGAGCAGCTGCTGTGCAAGTGGGAGCGCTGCCATGAGTCCGCCATCGTGGAGGGCGTTCACCTCAGCCTCAACTTTGTGGTGCGCTTTAGGGTTGCCTGCATTCCACGTGGCACCTGTATCCCACCCACGTGGCACCTGCATCCCACGTGGCACCTGTATCCCACATGGCACCTGTATCCCACGTGGCACCTGTATCCCACGTGGCACCTGCATCCCACGTGGCACCTGCATCCGCATGCCTCCCCATGGCAGATGGAGCTGCTGAAGCGGCATCCTCTATCATTCCCTTTGTGATGAACTTCGGCAACGAGGCGAAGCACATGGAGCAGTTTGTGGTGCGCGCCAAGTACATGACGCTGGACCCCCTGTGGCTCACCCTTGTATTCCCCATGCCACCTCCATCCCCCATGCCATACCATGGCAGATGGAGCTGTTGAAACGGCACCCCACGATCATCCCGTTTGTCATCTACATCGGCAACGAGGCGAAGCACATGGAGCGGTTTGCGGTGCGCGCCAAGTACATGACGCTGGACCCGCGGCGCAACAAGTACGTGCGCTACATGCGCAACATCCGCGCCATCCAGGACTACCTCGTGCGCCGCGCCGACAAGCATCTGATCCCTAAGGTGTGTGCGTCGTACATGTGGTGCAGTATGGTGGGCCCTTTTCTGCAACAAGCACGTGCGCAACATCCGGGCGAGTCAGGACTACCTCGTCCGGCGAGCCGATATGCACCTTATTCAGGAAGTAGGCTGCAACTGAGAACCTCCTTGTGCACACGGGCCAAGGTGTGCCGGACCCGCGAACCGCAGGTGAACAACACGACTCGATTCGACACGTGGAGGTTTTCTTCGGATTGAAAGCCCTGCTGCTGAAAGAGCGCATGGATGGGGAAGAGGGAGTCTTGGGCCCCCTTCCACGTGTCGTAGAGAAGCAGGGCTTTCAACCCCCGCCTCTCCCCTCCACCCCCCACACTTCCATCTCCCCCCTCTCTCGCAGGTGAACAACACGAACATGGACAAGAGCGTGGCGGCCATCCACGCCACGGTGTTCGCCTGCCTGCGCCACCGCGCAGCCGGGGAGAGCATGTACAGCCGCGCCTCCAACACGCTGCCACTGCTGCACCACGAGTACGACACACAGTACACTGCATCTGGACTCGGCTCCAAAGGCATGCTCTACGTCATACAGAGAGAAGGCAGTCTGAGGGAGGGCAGGCTCAGGGAGGGCAGTGTGCGCTCCTCTGCCTCTGACCTCCCGGATCCGCTCTCTGGTCTGCCCACGCGGGCCGTCAGCCTCCCCACGTACGCCTTTGGTGCTGATAGCAGCGTGTCGGGCGCTGCAGCAGCTGCAGGGGAGCCGTACCCGCCTGCTGCTGCCCACACTCGCCTCTCACCCCTCCCACCTGACTTCCCACCTGATGGTTCTCCACATGGTGACCCACCTGGCACGGAGGCGTCTCAAAGCCACGGCCCGCCCTCCCTGTCAACACTGGCCTCCCGGCCGCCGCGCTCCTTGCAAGTGTCAGAGGGCAGCACAGGCACCACCTCATGGGGGCCCTCTCTACAAGCAGGCGCAGCTCATGCGTGCGTGTATCCAGAGGAGCTGTCAGACGGGTATGCCTCGGGCTACAGTTCAGGGGTACCGCCCAGAGGGCCCAGAGACCGCTTCGCTTTCGCAGCGTCTTTTCCAGCAGGGGCGCAGGGTCTTCCCTGGCAGGCAGGGCACGGGCAGGTGCCACCTCCCCCAGCTGTCGCCATCCCCCTGCTGAACCTCTCAGAGACCCCGTCGGCTACGGAAGGCTCGCTGGAGTCCCCCAGTGCGCTGCTGAGCTCTGGGGTGAGTGCGTGCTCCACGCCCAGGGTAGGTGCACCTGGTGCAGGCGCATCTCTAGGGGCATCTGGTGGGGGCGGTGGCAGCGTGCTGGCGCCCATCCACGTGCGCTTCAGCGGCCGCACGGCCTTCCCCCGCAGTGCTGACGTGGGCAACAGCAGCGGGGGGGAGGGCCTGGCGGAGCGCGAGCGGGAGAGGCGGGCGAGAGGAGGTGCGGCAGCAGCAGCGGGAGGAGCGGTGGGAGAGGTGGGGGTGATGGGGGGGATGGGCATGGGGCGGCTGGCGAAGGCGATGGACGGGGTGAGGATGAGCGGGGGAGGGCAGTTTGCAGCGCACATGCCCAGCTTCTACGGCTCGCCTGCCAGCCGCACGCACGCCCTGCAGAAGAAGGAAGAGGTGCGCCCGCTGTGCCCTGTCTGGCTTCACTCTCTGCTCTCTGCAATCTGTGTGTGTGCACATGCACAGGCAAGCAATCCATGTGTTTGCTGCCCACTCTTCAGGCATTTTGTGTGGGCACAGGCGTTGGAGCACGCGCCACGTCAGTCAGCATTGGCAATAATGAGACAGATGAGGAGCAAGTTAGATGACAACCAGACAACAATTGTCTGTGCTCGTCCTCCCTCCCTCCTCCTCGTGTGAAGCCACAGGTATCAGAGCACGTAACGGCATCAGGCAGTGCCAGCGTGTGTTTCACATAGATTCCTCTGCCCTCCCTCGCCGTGGCAAGCCACAGGTATCAGAGCATGTGGCGGCATCAGATAGTGATGACGACGAGGAGCACATGCGGGATGCTGCTGACGTCAGCTCCAATGCTGCCTTCTCCTCCGAAGGCTCCGAGCACGACGAGGAGGTGAGGGGATGAGGAGGTGAGGGGATGAGGAGGTGAGGTGAGGGGATGAGGAGGTGAGGGGATGAGGAGGTGAGGTGAGGGGATGAGGAGGTGAGGGGATGAGGAGGTGAGGTGAGGAGATGAGGAGGTGAGGGGATGAGGAGGTGAGGTGAGGGGATGAGGAGGTGAGGTGAGGGGATGAGGAGGTGAGGTGAGGGGATGAGGAGGTGAGGTGAGGGGATAAGGGTGAGGGGATGAGGAGGTGAGGTGAGGGGATGAGGAGGTGAGGGGATGAGGAGGTGAGGTGAGGGGATGAGGAGGTGAGGGGATGAGGAGGTGAGGGGATGAGGAGGTGAGGGGATAGAAGAGGTGAGGAGATAGAAGAGGTGAGGGGATGAAGAGGTGAGGGGATGAAGAAGTAAAGGGAAGAAGAGGTGAGGGGATAAAGAGGTGAGGGGATGAGGAGGTGAGGGGATGAAGAGGTGAGGGGATGAGGAGGTGAGGGGATGAAGACATAAGAAATGAGGCTGTAAGCATTTTGATGCGTATGTTGAGCAAGAGGAGGTGGACACATGCAATGCAACGAGGGGGTCCTAGTGAAGCTGTGATCCTGTGTGCTGGGTTTTGAACTTATCGGGAAGGTAATCTGTGTCCCCTCTATCTCTGTCCCGCATGTCCCGCGTGTCCCCCCTTGCTAACTCACTGGCCACCAGGAGGGCTCAGTGGCGAGTGACGAGTCGTTCAGCCTGTCGGAGGGCGGCACGGACGACGACATTGGCGAGGGCGACAGCGCACAGCCCCTCCCCCACCACCTCTCCCTCTCCGCTGCTGCCATGCCACCGGGCGGCGAGCTCAACGTCTTCCTTGATGCTGCCAGCCTGCCCCACGTGCTGCCCTCTGCCTCCTACTATGGCACTCACGGCAACTATGCCAACCACACCAGTCTCGACACTCAAGGCAATTATGGCACAGTACCCCGTGACAATGAACCTATGGGGCACCGTGCTCTTGGGGCTTGGGGGCAGCACTACACTGCCCTGCAAGAGGGGGCTGCTGGATATGCAGGCGGGGCAGCACCACCGGCAGCAGCAGCTGGTGCTTTTGCTGCCCGGTCGCATTCCCTGCAGCACACAGCCGGCCGTCCTCACCCCCCACTCCATCTGCACCGCGTTCCCTCGGCACCTGGTGCTACAGGTGCTGCAAGTGCTGCTTCCCGTGCCGGCCTGCCTCCCTGTCCCACAGGCCACTCCACATCGTCTGCCCACTTCCCGCGCCGTGGGGCGGATCCCTTGCCACCTGCTGCACGGGCCTTTCCTCCCACGCCAGGCGCTGACTCGGCTGCAGCCACGGCAGCAGCAGCCACCGAAGGGACTGTTGGGATCGCTGCAGCTGCAGCCACGGCAGCAGCAGGGGCCTCCAGGGCGCAGGGGGGCCGCGAGTGGGGCATAGGCAGGCGAGCAGGCGCAGGGGCGGGCGTGGTGCTGGGGAGGTCCAAGTCCATGGGTGGGATGAGGGAGAGAGAGGCCGGGGTGAGGGAGGTGGGGGAGAGGGAGGCCGGGCGCATGCGTGTGAGGCCGTCGCGGCCCGGGGCTGCAAGGCGGTTCTCAGACACGGGTGCAGCTAGCAGAAGGGGATGGGCGGCGCTGGAGACAACTCTGCAGGGCGGTGCGTTAGTGCTTCAAGAGAGGGAGAGCTTGCAGCCACGTGGGATTGCATTGCAGCAAGAGAGACACATGGCACAGCAGCAGCAGCAGCAGCAGCAGCCGCTGCAAACTGGCAGGGAATAGGTGTATGGTAATGGAATACCGATCTGGTCTGGTGCTTAGGGCAGGACAGTGAGGGGTGGTACCTTGTAGTTGCATTGGAGGACGGTGGTTCACAATTACAAGTGTCAGCATGCTGTGCATTGGCAGCCAATGAGACTGGCTTGCCACAAGGTGTATACTGTGTTAGAGTAAAGGACCTTTGGATAGGATAGGAATGCCTTAGAAGAGCTTAGTAGCAGAAGTCTTAGTTGTAGGAACTCTGATCAGAGTGAATGCAGATGACAACGTTGAATAAAACAGAGATTTCACACATAATAAATAGTTCCTAGCTAGCCATGTACTCTGAGGGGTACATTCCTTTATTCTAACTGTTTTACAGGCATTTCTACAGTGACTCTGACTGTTGTACTACTTGTTACCGAGTCGCTGCATGTAACTTGTACATACGGTTACGCCTGTTGCTATTCCTCGATGGTAAGTCAAACGTCGGTCCAGATGGTCAGCAGTCGCGACAGTTGACTCTTGCGACCAGGGGTTTTTTTATCAGTGTAATTTACTATGTTTCTCTGAAAATCAGAGTGGTTTTTAGGGGGGCACTCTGTACCTGCTGGGTATTTTTTTTTAGAGTTACTTGTTCTCTGATCAGCCAGGGTTTTTGTGTAAGTTCACTCTGGAGCGCCAGTGTTCCTTTCTTGAATAGTGAGTTTACTCTGAACGGGGGATACATGTACCCCCCCGACCCCCCTAGGTCCCCCTTATCCCCACGATGCCGGTTTGGACCGGAGCGCAGGGGATATCAGTGTTGTTTCGCCCGTGTGTTGGCACAACCTGAGGTGCCGATTGGCCGGAATGGCATATTTCGTGCCAGCGCACTCAACTGGCCACCCAGTGGATACATCGATGGCTTTGCGTACCCCATCAGCAATGAACAACTTCAACTTTCGGGCATGATACGGCAGCTTCCTATGGTGCACTGAATTCGTGCGCGGCGTGCACATCCACACCTGTTGCTCGGCAGGCATACGGGGTCACCACCAAACCCCATCCTGTCTGAGCCATTATGTTTCTTCTGTTGGGCTGAGATAGCCCCTTAGGATCTTTGCAAGGGATAACTTTAGGTGAAGTAGTTGTAATAGCGGAAGCGTTTAGTGAAGAATTTGAACCGACCTTGCACTGGTGTGTGAGAGCAAAGTTGATTGAATTAAACAAGCAAATACAAGGATTTATATAAGAGTACAGGGAATACGAATAGATATGTAGATAACTGTATTGCTGTTGCGGTTCGATACAGTGCGACTCGGGCAACTGCTCTGTAGCGAGTCAGTTGTGTGTCCTTAACTGTCGCGCTGTAATTGTCGAGTCAAAGGTCAGCGACCTTTGACTTTCTCGTAACCTCCAGGCGGTTACCCTAACCTCCGAGGTTGACTCGATGCTCCGATTGGGACTGCTTCGCTTGGTGCCTTGGGTTTTGATACGACAGAAGCGCACTTAGGACTTATTGTTTCCAACACTCCCCTTCGCTTCTGGAGTGTCGCTGCTGGTGACGTGGCCTTGTCCAGTCAGCATCATGCAGTATTCGAACTTCTGCTTTCCGAGTTTCTTGGTCAAGTAATCGGCTGCCATCTCGGATGTTGGGCAGTATGACAGATCGAGTTTCCCCTTTTCTATCTCGTCCTTCACGAAGAAATAGCGCAGGGCGATGTGTTTCGTCCTGTTTGCGAAGCCGTTTTTGTTGGCGATGCGAATTGCTGACTGGTTGTCGCAGAACACGGTGAAGCTGGGTAACTCGGCTAGCTTCGCTTCTTCCAGTAGTTCGCGAAGGTAAAGTCCCTCCTTGGTGGCTGAGCAGAGTGCAATATATTCTGCTTCTGCTGAAGATAGTGCGATTAACTCCTGCTTGCTCGACTGCCAGGAGATAGGACCGATAGGCTCAAGGCGGTAGACATAGCCGGTGCGTGAGCGCCTGTTGTCGGTGTCGCCGGCGTGATCGGCGTCGACGTAGCCGATTAGCTTAGTTGGTGTAGCTGCGCTCTTGTGGTAGGTTAGCCCGATCGTCGCGGTGCTGACGAAGTAGTGGAGAGCGCGATCAAGTTCCGCCAGGTGTTCAGCTTCAGGCTTCTTGAGATAGGTGGCGAGCTGACTTGCGGAGTAGGATAAGTCAGGGCGGCAGGTGACGGCGGCGAATAGCAGGCATCCGAGCTTCTTCTGATAGTCGCGTATGCCGGCGGGCTTGAGTAGAGTAGTTCGTTCTTTCTCGGTTCCTGATGTATAGCGGTAAGGCGTGGAGATGGCGCTTGGTGTGAGGCTGAAGCGTTTCGCGATGGTGTCGGCGTATTTCTCGGCGCTTAGATAGATGGCGTTTTCTTCTTCGCGGATGTTGAGCCCGAGGTACTGTGTAACGGTGGAGGAGACCGTGAGCGTGAGATCTTTCTGGAGCTCTCCTTCGAACCACGTGGCGATGCCGTCGGTCGACCCAATGTAGAGGAGATCGTCCACGTAGACGATTAGGAGAACGTAGTCGCTTCCCTTAGTGAGGCGGTACATGCCTTGGTCGTGAGGTAGTTGACTAAAGCCGATGCGGATGAGACGGGCGTGTAGGTACTGCTGCCACAGTCGCGGTGCTTGCTTGATCCCGTAGAGCGACTTAAGTAGTTGACAGATTCGGTTGGGTTCGCCGTGGGAACCGTGCGGGAGCTCGACGTAGATTTCTGCATCCACAGGTGCGTAGAGGAAGGCATTCGCTACGTCGATCTGCCGTAACTTCTTCTTCTTCATGGCGGCAATGGCGAGGAGAATTCGGAGTGACGTGTGGCGGCTGACTGGAGCAAAGGTCTCGGTGAAGTCTCGTCCTTGCTCTTGGTCGAATCCACGTACGACCCAGCGTGCTTTGAATTTTTCGATCGTGCCGTCTGCTTTCGTCTTGATGCGGAAGACCCATTTCCCGGTAAGGATGGTTTTGTTCCGTGCCACGCTTACGGGAACAACCTTCCAAGTGTTGCGTTCCTCTAATGCCTTCAGTTCTCTATCCATGGCTTCACGCCATTTCTCCCTGTGTTCCCCCCCCAGAGCCTGCTGAACCGTTGCAGGCTCCTGAGGAAGCGAGCTGCGTGTGTTCCCGTGGACTGCGGTGACGAGGCCGAGGATTTGCAGCCCAGTCTGTGAGTATCGAGGGAGTTCTGGATCCTCGGGATAAGCTGCTTCGTCTCCCGCTTCTGGATCAGGGATGAAATTCGGTCCTATCCTTTCTGCTTCATTTGTGTTGACGGTTGCAGGTGTTACGTAACCGGTGTCGGCGAAGTGGTAGAAGACTTCGGCGTTGTTACTGTCGCGAGGATTTTCTTCGTCCATGGGCACGTTGACGGAGCAGTACGGGAGAGGTCCGGCTTCTGCCGATGCGTTGTCAACATTCTGCTCGTCCCAGTCTGCTTCATCCGCTGCTGATGCGAAGGCTCGGTCACCACGAAAACCACTGGTGAGGTCCCGATTCTCGTGCAAGTTGGCGAGGTACGTCTGAAGGGTGAGTCTTTCGTAGAAGATCACGTCACGTGCTGCTACTGTTTCCTTTGTGTGGACGTCGAAGATTCTCCATGCGTTGTAATTTTTCTCGATGCCGAGGTGTAGTCCCCACTGTGCCCGTTGCGAAAATCTTCCCGCTCGTGCTTCTGGGGGTCTGTACTGTACCATGCACCCGAAAACTCGTAACATTTTCGTGCTGCCCTGCTTCCCTGTCCACAGCAGATGCGGTGATGCGTTGTTCGGGAGTGACGACGACGACAACAAGTTGTGCAGCATGACAGCGTGGTCCATTGCTGCTGGCCGCTGGTGGTTGGGTAGCCGCATGCCACGTAACAGTTTGCGCATGCTGTTCTGCAGGGTCCTGTTCAGTCGTTCTGCAACACCTTGCTGCTGATGTGCGTAGGGAAGGGAGAGGAGTTGCTTGATCCCCCTTTCCGCCAAGAACTGCTTGAAGCGGTGAGAGGTGTACTCGCCACCTCCGTCTGACTGGAAATTTTTTAGTTGTGTTCCAGACTCTCTCTCTGCTATCGGTAGCCAGGCGGCGAATGCTGCGAGTGCCATGTCGCGGCTGGGTAGGTTGCGATGCCAGACGTATCGAGTGGCGGCGTCGATGAAGGTGATGGTGTAGTTGTAGTTGACTTGTCCTGGTTCGCGATTGTAGAGGATGTCGCTGTAGACTTTTTCGAGTGGTGCGTACGCTGGAGCGCTCGGGTTGTGATGTGAAGCAAACGGTCGATGAGGTAAGTCAGCTTGGGACATATAAGGCAAGTCCCTCGTGCCTTCTGGAGTTCTCTGCCATCGGGTAGAAGTAGAGAATCTTTGTCAAGGACTCCTGCTCTTATCGTGTTATTCAAAACCGTGTTGCTTGGATGTCCTGTTCGTGCGTGCCAGATCTCTTCAGAGGCGCGGTGTCCAGGTGAACGCTGATATGCGTCGGAGTTGGAGTAAAAGCTGGCGACGAGGTTGGCGCTTCGGTGGACTTCACGTTGAGTCGGATTCAGCTGTTGTGCGGGTGTTGGTGGTGCTTCGTTGACTGTGACTGGTGTCGTTGTTTCTGCTGCTGCTGATGTTGTTGCTGCTGCCGATGTTGTTACTGCTGCTGATGTTGTTGCTGTTACTGCTACCGATGTTGTTGCTGCTGATGTCGATGTTGTTACTGCTGCCGATTGTCGAATTGTTGCTAATGCTCGTGTTCGTTCTGCTTCAGGAATGGTGTGCGAGTACCAGAAGCCTCCCGGGCTGAAGTCGGGGTCGAGATCCGGAGGGTGTGTCCAATCAGTGAAATTCACGATGGCGTCGCTGTCTGCAGTGCCGAGGTCAGGAACGAAGTCGAGGACGAAGACGTTGTTCTTCAGCACTGCTTTTCCGATGTAGAGACCGCCTCTCCCGTGGTAAAGCTTGAACTCCTGGGTCGTGCTGTCGGCTTCCAGATGAATTCCTTTCGCCATCAACTGGCTAACGCTCAGTAAGTTGTAGCCGAGTCCTTCAGCGATGAGTACCTTAGA